GTAACGCTGCTTATTAAGTGAAATAGAGCGCCAAAGGCCATTAAAGACCTCCCGGACTTACCTCTACCTGAAAATAGGTCCGAAAATGACTGAACGTGACCCAACAAAACAAAATTTTAACTCATTATTGAGGTGGTTTGATTTTTCTGAAATTGTCCGACTCACTCTGTAACCTTTTGAGAATGTCGAATAGAGATTATCTGTGTGTTATGTTTGATAAATACTTTCGATTCTACATGCCCGCCCTACTCAAGACTTTTACAACAAATGTCGAAAATAACCAATCTTTTGAAATTTGCCTGTGGACCAAAAAGTAATTTTGTCTACAATATTCCATGTTTTCGTCCTGAAATATTCTGATTAGGACATGACAGATGTATTCTAGAAGGAAAAGACGATGTACACTCAAAGAAAATTTCCTATATCTTAAAAACAAATCTGTTGAAAAAAACTGAAAAATGCAGACTTTCAAATGGTTCAATATGAACAACATTCTTTGAGTGGGCATCGCTTTTCCCTTCTAAGATGCATATGCCCTGATCAGAATATTTCAGTACGGAAACATGCAATATTGCAGATGAAATGAATCATCTGTATTTGACATCCTCAAGAGGTTACAGGGTGAGTTGGACAATTTCACAAAAATAAGACCACCTCAATAATGAGTTAAAATTTTGTTTTGTTGGGTCATTTTTTTGAAAAATGTTCAGTCATGTTCGGACCTATTTTCAGGTAGAGGTAAGTCCGGGAGCACTTTAATGGCCTTTGGCGGTCTATTTCACTTAATTAGCAGCGTTACGAACCAGAAAAAATGTTTTTAAAATATGTTGAACTTTTTTGAAAAATTGAAATTTTTGGTCAAATTTCAAAAAATGGACCCCTGGAGGCGCTAGGTCTGTAATATCAATTATGTCAAAAAAACGTCATATTCATAAATCTTACATATTTTTCCATAACTTATAACTATAGCCAGTATCCCTTCTGAATTTTTACAAAAATCGAACCACCCTACTGCAGAGAATGGTGAGAAAATGGAAATTTATTTCCGAAATATGAAGAATAACATTGGAATTTTATTTTCACTCAGGTCATATAAAGGTAGAATATAATTACGGAGGGTCTACATTAGGTAACGTTGCTTCAACTAGTAAGGACATTAAAGGTCAATATTAATAAAAGAAACAAAGAGTTGTGCAACAAATTTTGCGTACCTTAAACTTTGTATCAAAACCATTTTCATAGGTCATGAGAAAATTATTGAACTACTTATTAATAACGGGGCAAATGTGAACACTCAAGATGAAAGCGGTTACACTCCGCTTAAAAAAGCTTCATAGTGGTAATGCAATTTACATTTATTTTAGTCACAATTTCAAATAAAAGAGAATAACATTGAACACTTATTTTAACTCAGGTCAATCGAAGATAGTTGAGTTAATGCTTAGGAATGGCGCGGATATTAATTTAAAAACTAAAAATGGACGAACACCGGATGATTTGAACTTACCTGAACAAAAATATTTTTTTATTACAATTTGAAAATTAGTCACAATGTTCAAAGAATTTGCAATTTAAAAAGAAAAGTTATTAAATTTATTTAATTTTTTTTTAAAGTTATTAAAAATGATTAAATTATAAATCTTCACAGAAAGAAAAAATGTGGTATTTTTAATTCAATTTTGATAGATTTAATATAAAATCAACCAACGTCGAATTAAATTTACCATTTTTGACATCTCTGAGGCATATTTCTCAAAAGAGACTTTCAGTTTAATAAGTTTTACCAATTGCTTCATTACATTTACCAAATTCATGGGCTAGCGTCATCTGTGGTTTCGAAAAGTTAGTAAATGTAATGAAGCAGTTGGTAAAACTTATTCAACAAATAGTCACTTTTGAAAAATATGCCTCAGAGATGTCAAAAATGGTAAATTTAATTCGTTGTTGGTTAATTTTATATTAAATCTACCAAAATTGAATTAAAAATACCACATTTTTTCTTTCTGTGTATTATCGAAAAGATGTGGTTTTTAACGGTGATTGGATGTATTATGCATCATTGTATCATACCTTTTTCCCACCAATACATGTATAAAAAATTATGTACCAACTGAAACTAATTCAGCCAGTTTTGGCGATGAACAACTATTATTATATTAATATAAAATGGTTTCACACAATAAAATTGACAAAAATTCAATAAAATGGCCTGATTTTCAATAAACCATTTTTATTTATTATATTCCTTTCCATTTCTGTAATATTTTTCGGGAGATTTCAATGGTATCGCCATTAGCCATGGTGCTATATATTTTATGGGCGAGTGTGAATGGTTCTTCGATTTGTTTGAACATTTTTTGTTTGCACATGTCATCACTGAATTCGCCATTCTTCTTCTCAATACTTTTTTCGAGCTCAGAAAAAAACAATTGCCATCGGGGCAAACTATAGTCACGTACGATTCCAGCCCATTGCTTATGTGCATAATCGGAAATTTCGCCATTCGGTCCCCTGCACAAAGAACATACCCAATTGTAATTGCATATCTTAATGTAGAACATATTCATAGTTAGTAGTTACCAAATTGTGATATGAGTGCGTGCATTGTATTCGAATAACAACTTTTCCTGTTGATTGGCGCCAATGGATTTAGCGCTTTCAATCCAATTTCCAAGAAAGAAATGTTCATCAGTTTGCAAAATGTCATCCAAATCAATCAGCATTGACTCGAAAGTATGGCGAATTTTTTTCAAAGCTATCACATCTTTAGCAGCAAATGCTGTCTTCATCTGAGGATACAACAGCTCAATTTTATTCTGAAGGAATTGACGTGTTACATCTACAAGATCGTATTTAAATAATTTATTGCCAGTGATCAAGTTGAGTGGAGTCTTTAACATTTCATCAAGAACATCGTCAATCAGTGTTAAATTGTACCATGCCTGTATTTTTCAGAAAAGAATTCATCAAAATTAGGAGTGTGTTTCTATTATTTGCTAAAATTGGACAGAACTTACCCATTGCGTAATATTCATCGATGGCCTAGAGCCGACGACATAAAAGTATCTAGCAGGATACGATTCTATTTTGAACGTATAAACCGTGTCCTGTAAATGTTATATGACAGAAGTTATCATCAACGATTACACTCATTCTATCCTATATTCTACAATAGCTTACTTTGAGAATATTCCAAGCGTTTCGTATATGCTCATTTTCGATGCCATACCGATTGAGTGTGTATTGTTTAATCCATTTTGGAATGTCCGTCGAATCCTGGTACCAACTTCGATCCAAAGCAAATTCATACATGATATAGTTTTGATTGATTCCTTCTGGTGTAATTCCCACGCCGACCATTGATGAATTCGGGAATTGTTTTACGTTGACGATCTCCTAAATACGGAATGATATGTAGAACAATGTAAAGTCATTCACGACGATTGATAAGAACAAAAAAATAAAGTAAATTCACCTGATTAACAATCTCTAGATTGCCTTTAGATTCAATTCCAGTTGATTACGTCCATTTAGATCATTTTTTGAAGGGTGAAATTAATACAAGAAGATATAAGATTTCAGTATTTGGATTTGTATGCAAGAGATTTTTAATTCTAAAACGTGATTTAGGTTGCACGACTGTCATATAGTCAAACGAAGATCATCACCCACAAGTTGCATACACTCAAAGTAAATAATAAATTGGACTGAATTTACCTTGCATGCCAAGTCTTCCGCCAAAATTGCTCAGCATACACCAAATGAAAGGCTGACCATGGAATGACTTCGTGACTGGCCACAGTGGCTGATGATTGGCATTTAAATCCAATACCAAAATTCTTCCCCTTGGAACGGCCGTTAAAAATGCCTCTACAGCATCCTCTGTCCATTGTGGATACCTAAAGAACCACGATTGAAGTAGCCAAATAGCGTTTTTATCCACTTCTTTCATTGTTGAATAAATCATGTTTGACGCATGTGCAATATATTCGACCGTCATATTGGGCAGATTCATTTCATGGAATGGATCGCTAAAGTAAATGTGATTTCCGCCACCATACTCTTTGATAATTTTTGTTAAAAATAATTTGCCAACTTTTTTGAAGAGTGGATCATTGGACTCGATTAATAACGGGCAGGAATATTGAGCCGGAAAATCATGCCATCTTCCTCTGCATTTTACATATTCTGCATTCGGGTATATTCGTTTCAGTGCTTTTGGCACATAACCAGCAAATGCTGGCAGAGCAAAGGCGATTCCCAGATTGCGGAACGATGAGATCACCTGCTTTTGCAGTGAAGACGACCATAACATAAAACGGCCTGGTAATGGACCACCAAAACCATTTATATGCGCCATACGCTGCCATGCAGCAAACGATGGACCGACGAAGTAATCATTAATTTCGTCTTTTGTTAGACCCAGTTCAGTGTAAACATCACTCCAGACCTTCTCCTGCACATGAACGTAAAAAAAATATCGGTGATGTGAAAGCGGCTGTAAAAATATGGATCAAACAACAAAAAACAAACCTGAGTCGGCGCCAATGTTAATGTGATGCCTTGCATTGCAATCCAATCGATATGACGTTGCCAATCTTTCCATTGCCACCAAGTCAAACTATACGAAAATGAGCACACATTCTACGATTTCGATACAAAATCAATAAATACTCGTATTTTAATCGAAACAACAAGAATTTTTTTATTTTTTCCAAAAGAGGAAAAACAAAAAAGTTATTTGTATTGACCTGGTAGTAAATAAAACGGCTGGGTGATGTTTCCGTTACATTAACATCGGGCAGTTTATCTGGCATTTGTATTCTATACCCATCCCAAGACACATGACTGTTACAGTAGAATTTTAGATAATGGTTAAATGCCTTGCACGCTATCACACCAGATGAAGCTTTTATTCGCACAATTTTATCGGCTGTGGATTTGTACAAGTGAAACGTATGCAAAGGTAGACGGGCGTCAATGTTCACTTTAAACAGATGTGCATGCTTGGGCACTGTTCGTTTGATCAATTCATCAACTGCCTTCGCTTGCACTTCTTTCGACGCTGTTGGTTCAGTATTGGCAAAAATATGTTCAAATTCTATAAATGAATAAAGTATGAGAATATCGTCATTTGATTTCGTATGACCTCGTATGGATATATAGATATTTTAAACAAACGAATACGAATCCCAATAAACCATTTGATCCATTCTGTAATGTCATTTGTAGCACAATATGTATACATGTACAAATTTTGTACACATTATGTATACAAACAAGGAAGAGTCACTACGCTCAAGATCAGTTTTTAAAGTTTGTCAGCAATCTTACAGAACATTTTTGCACTATATGAGTATGGGATATTCAAATTCAAAGCACTACTATTCCTAAAGAAATCATCGTTATTATTTCAAAAACTTACGTTTAATTCCGAGTGCTTTGCTAGCTGATTGTCCTCCATCAATATGATGCACCTATAGTTTGAAAAAAAAAAAAAACAAATTTCTTTTCAAATATTTCAATATATTGATGAGGTAAAGGTATAATTTTACTAACAAGGCACTTGATCAGGAGACACACTATGAAGATCGAAAATGGTAACTTCATTTCGCAAAAAATAGATGAAACTATGCGTAGTCAGGCACTTCTATATCTTTTATATATTTTTTTTTGAAGAAATATTTCTAGAGTAAACAATTTGTTTGAATCATTCGAATTTGAAATAAATAATAAAATAAAGAAGTCAATATTATTATTGGAATATGTGTGCGTAAAGTATTGCAATCGCCAGAAATGTGTTTTATTTCCATTTTTGGGGTCGGAGAACGCGAATTTGAGGTTTATCACGTCGTACGCAAAATTTGGTCACAAAATATCCAAACAACGTGCACATAACGAGCTTATCTGATTTCGCCAAAATATGTTGACGAAAATATTGCGTTCCACATTACGCAAAGTAAGTAAACAGCAGAAAACGAAAATGTAATAAAAAACGAATGCTGACAACGGTGCGGAAAAGTGCGTCTTACAGCGGTAAAACCTTTTTTTGTTCCAAATGGAGTTTAATTACGAGTTTATCTTTTGTTTAATTAATGTATTGATAGAATATTGTTTTGTTTCACGAAAAATTTCTACAGACATATGGTAAGTTTTCGTTACTAAGATTAACATTTAGATGGAGAGTAATTCGAACTCAATAATATAATTTTGAATAGATCATGCCACATATTATTTGACAAATTCCAGCGAGTTCTCTGCGTGACTTTGTCTACATGTAGACATTACTGCAGTTATTCTATATTACAATCGGATTCATGATGTGTCCATATATTTATATAACGTGTGTAGCGGTCTCCGTCAAGTCACAAGTCAATGGACAAATTCTCAATAAATTGGTTGTACCCGAACTGATAACAATGTTATGATTTATGTTATGGAAGAAGTGAGATGCTTGCTCGCGATAACAGCATACACAAACAACATCATTTATAGTCATAAAATTACAAAATTCATGGTAAAACATTATTTTTTCAGTTCGAAGAGATTTCCTAACAATGATTGTTTACACAATTGCGATGTGATATTCAATTGAACGACATATTCATTCATTTGTTTCCGCTGCGTAGAGTTGTATCAATCGAAACATCGTCACATGAAATGAAAAAAAAACTAACCGCGGCCACTTATGTTTTAATGGAATTTCACTTTGTGAAAAATGTTTGCATTGAATTCCAAAAGGAAGCACATTGGTTACATTGTTTTTTTAAAAAGAAGAAGAAAATCAGTGGCGTTGTTTTTTTACAATCTATCGACCCGGATTGAATACACACCGAAGTATAAGCAAGATCGATCACTTAGTTGTTCACATTTCATCGTTGCGCACGTTTGTTCGTATGCAATGAATGGTGTTAGGTGCCATTTACAGTGGCTGTGTCTCCATATGTTTATGTTATTTAAAGACATAATAACGGCACGCAGTCTGAAACACTTTCAATCACTTTGCATTGAGTAAACTCAATTGGCTGGCCATTTTTCTATTGGGGTTAATGATAATTACGCGATCAAGTTGAATTTATCTTAAAGCAATTGTGGGTTTGTGCGTCTCATGCCATTTGTGACAAAATCACAATAAAATCATAAAGCATGTGAATGTGCGGCGTACACAAGTGGTTTCGGTGATAATAACATACATGCATTTATATATTTTACACCAGTTTCAGCTGAATTGGCTTGTACTTTCTTCAAACTATTCACTTCTTTATTCAAATTATTGGACTCTTTCTGTGTCTCTTCGTTGCTCTTCATCTCTCTTTCGCTCTCAATAAAAATGTCAAGCTCTTAAAATCAGGAATACATTTGATCAACGTGCGGAATGTTTTCATCGATTTAGAAGCAAAAAAAGTGGCAACGATTGAATGAGAGCGAGTGAGTGAATTGTACATATTCTCAGAAATATGTACAGAATTTGTTCAATTAACAAGGCACGTACGATGTGTTTCTGTCAAGAAAAACGAGCCAAGATTGAAGCTAATGGATTTTTGCGATGGCAAATAAATAAATAATTTTACATCGAATCAAAAGCGACAGTCACACATTCGCTGGGGGACGGACACAAAATCTAGTAAAATCTAGTTTCATAGTTTACTGCTAATTTTGCTAATATTTTTCTAATATTAATAAAAAAACCCACTATTATAACTATACAGACATACTAATATTGCTAATATTAGTTCACTAGTGTACGATGTCCGAGATTTAAAGAGGATTTTATTCAGTACAAACAAATTTATTTTATTTTGGAGTTTCAATTTGTGTTTTACAATTATAATTTTACTTATAATTATTTGGATTTCAGTGTGGTCCTTCTGATTTGTTTGATTCTTGGTTTGAATTTAATGTATCAACTTCGTATGTCTTTATTGCCAAGACAGTGACGAAATGTGTTAATAATTATTTGTATGTTCTTAATGGCAGTACAGTGACAAAATGTTCAAACTTCGAATCTTTGGCTTGTATGTCCTTTAACGGAACAGTGACAATGTGATGTTATAATTTGATGTAATTTAACTTGTATGTCCTTAGAGGCAAGACAGTGACAATATATTAAATATCAAATCGATTGGCTTGTGTGTCCTTAATGGCAAGACAGTGACAATATGCGTCGGTTTACTTTCCACAACTGAACCCGATTAGTCTTAACATCTAGGCCTTTATATACTAATTTTGGTGAGGGATTTTTCTACTGTATTAAATCTAAATGCACGGTTTTACACACAACCCTCATAAGAGGATGACAAAATGTAAGGTTTTGCACACAACTTCCATAAGAGAACGACAAAATGTAAGGTTTTACACACAATTCTCATAAGAGAACTGCATTATGTATGGTTTTCCATACAGTTTCCATAAGCGAGTTGCAGATACGTCGATTTTACTCTCCCCTTCGTTTTATCCTGAGTCACTTGCGTCCGTCGTACTGTATTGATGATTTATGTGTAGTGTTTTTATTGACAGGTTGCGTTCCCCCTGATTATATACACTTACTATGTGTTTTATCCATATTCCCCTGATTAGTGTTATACTGTGTTATACCAGATGTTAATCAGATGTGTCACCCCTCATTACTTGGTGCTGTACGATATTGTCGATAGAGATGTCAAGAGGTTTATTTATGTTTATATTCGATCGTAAAAGTGTTCTCCTTAATAATTGGTACGTATTGTATTCTTGATTATACGGTTTTCAATATGTGGTTTCGCTGACTCCCAATTAATGTGTGTATTTTATGTGGATCGTAAAATATTCTCTTAATTGGTAACGGTTGCGCTCTTGGTTTTATGAAATGTATGCATTCATATTTCTCATGTATATTTGATTGATTTGAATCAAAAATGTTTATATTTCTGTGTGTTGATTATAAAATGCGCCCCTCTATAACGAGTGCGCGGCATATTACCGTGTGTCATCTACCCAATATTTCTGTATGTGTCTTGTGTAATTTGCATATTTCAATATGTAAGCGTTAAATGAGCTATTTTAGCCAGAAAACGCTTACA